GTTAGCCTGCGATGCAAAATTGCATGTTGCCGTGTGGAACTATCTTTTCTTTCTAACTGCATCGCCCTTCGTCAGTATCCACGTTCGATTTTAAAACTACTGCGTAAAAACAAACTCAAGCCGTCCCATGGCAACTTCAGACGCATTGCCTCCGCTCAAATAGAAACGGCCCAAACGAAACTTACTGGGTTACTCGAAACGCATATGCGCTTGATGTCCGTTACGGATGACTTGTCCTTGTGCTGCAAGATAGTATTCAGTAATTTCTGCAAATATGCCATCCACCGTACCAAGGAGAGATGCAGAAATCGCCTACAAAACTCATTGGTAGATAACCAAGAGGAGACCATTTCTCGTGACCCAAATGATTATGTGTTGAACCTGTCAAATGTTCCGTTGGATAACTTACAATTGGAGGCATTGTGGCTCGGATTGGATTATAACATTCCTCCTGGTAAGCTAAACCGTTTGTTAATAGAGGCCCAGTTCGAGAACTTTTTTGATCAGTTAACAGACCTCCAGCCGGATAGTGCAGATAAACATAGCTGGTTTAAAAACAAATTAGCTGATATTGCTCATGAGTTCATGTTGACCCCAGTGAATGAAGGATGTGCACTTACAAAACGTCATATTCATGCACTTCGAGAGCTGAAGACCAAAGACGTACTAGTACTTAGACCGGACAAAGGCTCCGGAGCCGTTGTTATGAACACGGCGGATTACGTGCAAAAGATGCAGGTTATACTTAACGACAACAGCAAATTTAGACGTCTCAACAGAGTGGACGATATTTGCGACGTAGAAAGTCGCATCACAAATCACTTAAAAATACTTCTCGCACATCGAACGATCGATGAGAGAACGTATAATAGCCTAAAACCAAGTGGGTCCACCACGCCGCAAATGTACGGGTTACCGAAGACTCATAAGAGTGGTACACCCCTCAGACCAATTCTATCAATGGTAAATACCCCGCAACATAAGCTTGCTCGCTGGCTTGTGGACGTTCTTGCACCGTTAAAGAAGCATGTTATTCCACACAGTATCAAAGACTCCTTTGAGCTCATAGAAACTTTTGACAGCATAGACTTGTCAGATATAGTCATGTGTTCATTAGATGTGCAATCATTGTTCACAAATGTTCCACTACATGAGACTATTGAGTATGTGTGTGAGTTGGCGGAACATTCCAGCTTAGCTCTCCCAATACCAACTGAGCTGTTGAAAGACAGCCTGCTACTTTGCACTGAAAATATCAGTTTCAACTTCCGTAACACACCATACCGCCAGATAGATGGTGTAGCAATGGGGAGTCCATTGGGTCCCGTATTAGCGGATTTCTTTATGCCCATGGTAGAGACAAAGCTGAGTGCAGAAATTTCCCGCCTTTCCTACTACAAACGCTATGTGGACGACATCTTAGTGTTCTCGTCATCAACAACAGAGATTGCACGTCTTGTCGAACATTTTAACAGTGTACATACAAATTTGAGAGTAACCAGTGAATTAGAATGTAACAACTGTCTCGCATTTTTGGACGTACTGATTCGTCGTAGAGAAAACGGTTTCATCAAACGATCTGTTTATCGAAAATCGACATGGTCCGGGCAGTACCTGCATTTTACCAGCTTCACTCCAATGCGGTACAAGCGGACACTAGTCAAGACCTTGTTCAAGCGCGCAAGAAGATTATGAAGCCCCGATTGCCTAAAAGAGGGACAGGAGCTGTTGACTAATACGCTCTTAAAAAACGGTTATGCTCGCCGGTTTATTGTGAAACATAGCCAGACGAGAGTAGCAAGAGAAAAAGTCTCCACTGTGGCCAAAAAGAAGATCTTTATAGAACTACCGTTTAAAGGTGATCTTGCCACCATGAGGACAAAAAAGCGATTATTTTCCGCTGTTCACAGGACCTATTTCGCTGCTGAAGCTGTGCTTATTAACCGAACCAACAAAGTGCCTGTTCCCCCAACGAAGGAAAGACAAGCTTTCGGCGCCATTTCACACTGCATTTACCAATTCACTTGTAGCTGCGAGTCACGCTACATAGGCCGTACCGAGAGAATGTTGAATTCCAGAGTAAGGGAACATGTACCTAAGTGGGTGCAGCGTGAAATTATCCAGTCTTCCGCTTCGTCTACCACCTGTTCACGAAAGCCACCTGCCTCATCCATAGGTAGACACTTATTGGCCACTTGTCATCCATTCAACCCTGACACACAGTTCACAATCTTGTTGAGACATGCTAACAGCCGCATTCTACATTTCGCCGAGGCTGTCGCGATCAGCAGGATCAAACCGGCACTCTGTGTGCAAAAACAGCTGTTTGTAAACTTAAAGCTCCCATGGACGTAGGGGTGGCAAATCTGTACCCCACCCTGTCTCTAGTTTATCCGGTCACACCCTAGCTGTTGTTATATATATTTTCCTGTTATTGTATTGGCACTGATGCGATCATACAAAATGTTAACATCTGCCAGCTTTCGTCTTCTCACAGCGTTATTTGCTCTTTATCTGGGAATCCATTCAGCAATTTTGTGACAGCTGCAATTTAGCACAATCACAATCAGTCACTTCTTTCTGAATGCGTCTACTCACCTTTTGTCTCGCTACTACGCACTCTTACCCACGATCAAACTTTAGTGAACATATGTGGACACAGTAGGGTCACGTTGATTAAACAAATCAGTGTGACTAGGTGCGCGTTTTGATAAAGAGTAGGCCCAATATCCTCCCCGATGCCTAATGGTTTTCCCCCTGGAATTCCAAACGAACCACTTGAACTTGTCAGACATTAGGAACGGCAGAGAAAATGATGTTTATTTGTTCTTGCCGTCCAATGTGGATCATCTATTACAAATGGTGTCTGACGCAAGCTCATATTCGCCTTGACGCGCATCTACGCGAGCGCCCAGTCGCGACTCGTGTACACTACGCGAACGGTCGTTTTTCATAACTGTCAGAACATCTCTCTAGACAGTTCGGCCTCTCACGTCGTTTATCATCACTTCACTTAACATAAGCAGAACCGAGTATCGATAAAGCGTGGCTGAACGTTTGCCAAAGTGGTTGAGGCAACCATATGGGGCGAATCCGAGTATGAATTGGAGCCGGCATCATCTACCCACTATACGCTTCATGGCAACTCGTCATCATGCAACCCGTAGGCCAAGTTCAAGGTGTTATTCCATGACAACAATACCGATACTGTTGGTAACCAGTGTGGCGTTGCTACTTAGCGCCCGTAGTCTTAAGAATCACAAGCCTACCTCATAATCCGAGAGTGCGGGTTCGAACCTGCGTAGGGACCGGGTGACCCTCGCAGCACCCTTAGCCCACGTGCGACTAGTGGGGGTTGCGCATCAAGGAAGCGTCGGTACTAAGTGCTTCTGCTAATGCCGTTATGTGCACACGATTAGGTTGCCCTTGTCCTGATTATAGCATGTTGATCAGTATAGCAATTTGTTTCGCATATATGGCCGTGTGTGTGTGTGTGTTTGTTCCGCTTGTATTGTGTTTGCCACTAATGTGAACCATCGAAATGTTAACATATCACAACCTGTGTCTTCTCTCTACTTTGACGAAGTGGCTGAATTGCATTGAATAGTTTACCTCAAGTAACTCTTTGTTCAGTACCCAAAGCATTCTTACACGACGGACTGTGTTTTCGTTGACCAAGGAGAACACCCTAATCTTGTTAAAGGCAGGTGTCAGCACTCGTTAAGCACCTGAGCACGTTATGGGCACACGTTCATCCCCACTATTGTCCGAACGATTTCGAGAGACCTGTGGCTGCTTCACATATATGTATTTGAACTGAAGTGCTAAGATTCGAATAGTTTCAGTCTCTCTTAGGTCTATCAGCATGTTCGTAAATTCGTATCAGATAGCGGGAAACAAACTACTTGTCCCATTTTGCCCAGATGTGAATTTAGTCGGATCATGATCACAGCCATCAGAAATTTCATCGGTACCTCTCACAGTTTTGCGGCCGTTACTTCGATGCTGCGGCGATTGGATGTGTTTCATTTCTCGTTGTTAGATTAGGAAAAATAGAGTACATGTTTTCGAGTTTTCTACAGTGCGGTGTTGATTACAGCTGTGTGTGCTGTGGCTGCAGCACAGCTGGGCATCAGACACAAAACTCGGGATTAGAACTTGCCCTTCGATGGTATAACTTAAGGTAGGTTGTTGCGGACACGTCAAATATTCCCGCAAAGACGCGCCAGAAACCCTGGCAGAATGGCTGTTGAAAGCGAGGTTCAATTCCTCCCCACAACGCAGCAGCGCTCAGCCACTCCGAGACGCGGCCCAACTGCTCACCCTATGACAATGGTCTTTTACAAACTACCACCTTTTCGTGGTAGCAATTTTCCATAACTTAATGACCCGTAGCATTGGCTGTGATTCGCTCTTTGTTGGCCGTAAAAGAACCTACAGAGGAGCGCCTGTCTTTCTTTCCTCTTCGCCTTACTTGGGAGTCGGTCGGGGCACGTGATTTTGTGTGAGTCGTTAGCTGGCCAGCCTTCGCGTCTAAGTCGTTAGCGCGCGTCCATCGTACCCCCTCTCGTGTGCGTCCGTTCCGAGGGCTCAGCGTCTATCCGAACACGTGCGGCTAGGATCATTCACACGCTCGGTCAATTTCCGTCTCACCGGCTAAGCTAACGTCATCAAGTCAGCGCAACTCCGTTCGATTGGCCAGCGTTACAAGTCGTCATCGTAGGCGTGCTCCAACTGTGCCAACGACAATCTTATCAGGCAATTTCTTAATCATAACAAAGGCGGCGTTCCCCTCAATTATAACATAGATGTATCAGAGAACATCTTGTAACTTAAATTTAAATGTTATCTGACTGCATTTTCGCCCGTCATTATGTTTTACTCCAAGACATGAGATCTCTCGTCTCATATTCTAATACACTTTCTCCATTGTCAGCTCCCCACTCAAATTACTATATGTATATGTAAGAATTTTCTTCTTCCTTAATAAGGTTACTCACTTGATAGATTGAGAAATGCCAGTACCAAATTTCCCCGTATTAACAGACCATGTGGCTCAATATATTGTGCCTTGATGAGCAACGGGTTCGAAACTTCGTCCTCTTCAACGACCTGTGCCTGAGAATCATGAATATAAGATGAACGGTGTATTGGTTACTTTTTAAAAATGCGGCATTTTTCTGTATTTAAACATGAGAACCAACAAAGAAGCCTTGTAATTTCAGACAAGAAAATCAGAAGACATAAGTTGTGTGGTTAATGTTGCAGAACTCAGTTCATCAGGGACAAGCGTCTATTCAGCACAGTTAAGTAGGCGAAAATTACAACATGTTTGGCAAACCAAACTCCTCGATGTAAGTTGCGCGTTCAACTCCATAACTAACGACCTGAATCGATGAGGTTCCTCCTTTGTTTCAGTTAAACAAACGGTGAATCACTCACACGAATATCGGCTCATCCGAGTTCAGCAATCGATTCCGTTACGCCCACTTCCCATTGGCTGTCTGGCTCGCTCGGTTGGTCCATTCACTCACTCTGATCTGACACTCCCATCACAGTCACCTAGACGGTTCTTGCATTCTCATCAATCAGGAACATGCAATCGATGCCGAGTACAGCAAAAGCAATGTCACACGAGTTTACTTAATGGCCAGTTGGTGCTATACTATCAGGTCTCGCGCCGCCACACTAGGCTAAGTCATAGCTAACTGTTTCTTCATCGTCAACAATGACTTCCAGTAGCCTTCGGATGCGGGGCGCTGCTTGCGCATAAGGACAGTGCATGACTCCTTTGGGTGACCTGAGGCCGGTGCTCATGGAATACCTCGTCATTGACGTGGTAGCTGTTTTCTAGATTCATCCAATTCTGTCGGCACAGTTCCCATCTGTGTGGTTAGCCACTTGGGGTGTTTCGCCGATTCTAACTTCTAAACCTCGGTCTTTTTTCTACTATAGCTGTCCGCACTACTGAACGAGAAAGTAAAATGAAACCCGTTTTCCCAAATCCCGTATGGTGTTATGCAATTCGTCTCTCCTCTGTATAACCCTCTTCTCGGAATCCAAGTCATGCAGTGCCAGTCATTCTGCCACTAGTTGTTGCCCAATAATTTATTATGCCATCGGAAAAATATGATTTGATACACATGAAAACCGGACCGAAAAGGGCTATATTTTTGCAACTAATTTTTGAATCAAATGTTATTAAAGACTGGGGATTAATGTTTATTTTCATACATCATGTGACCATACCATCACCCTCTAGGAGGGCTGAACTATCCCCTCACCGTAAAGTGAGCCTATGGCACCAGCCGCCCATGATGTTCTGGTAAAGTACCCAGTCTGAGATGGCGGCTATGTGCGTTCTAGTGCACTTTTGCAAGGGATCATATGCCGTCTCATTCCTTCTCTCTAATCTTGACACCAAACGATTTAGTTCAGTCTAATCACTGTGATTCCAAAGTCGAAGCTTGATATGTATAAGTGCCGTGCGCTCACCTACCATGGAAATAACATTTGTAACAACAAGCGAGAATAAACGCGGAAAAAACTACATAGAATAGTGCAAAGCAAAAGGAAGAAGAGGAGAAAAGATTAGAGAGCTATTTTGAAGCACTTGTTGTGTGGATGGATTGCGACGCGCAGCCCCAAGATGGACAGCGATTCGCATAGAAGTGAGCCTTGGTCAATGCGATCATTGGGAGCCTAACTGATGAAGCGGCTGCCAATTAGACATTGCGTACCCAAAAACAATGCCCACCGCGACACGTTTCGATCTTATTTGATTTCCTAAGGTAGAACTAGCAGGCTACGAACCTGGGACCGTTGGCATATTGGCCGAAACCTCCACCCCTTTGGCTACCGGATCACAACGGCAACACTTTTCGCAACGGTTACTGACTGTTTGGTAGGGCATCTTGAAGTATGTGTTGTGTGGATGGATTGCGACGCTCAATCCCAACGAGCGGATGTAAAGTTCGAGTGAAAAGGGTAGGTACAAACAATCTCTGACTTTACCGATGCTACCCATCGGATACGTTGTCTAACAATTGATTTGTGCTGGATCCCTGAGCCCTCCCAACATGAAAGGCAACAGGCACCAGCAGGACCGTCTCGCAATCAGCTCATTCACATCACTTTACTAAACCATTTGGCAAACAATATGAGTCTTCAGGCAGTCGGGTGTTGCGTCCGATAAGAAGTCGCGTCGAGACGGGACCTTAACCTGGTGCGATGGTTTGCGCGCCTCAGCGATCCATTGAGCTATGCTGGATGGTGCTTTTTGCACATTCAGAGCCACTCATACCAGATTGGTCAATGCTTAGAGGTCAGATAGACTCAGTCACCTGGTCTTCCAGATTGAGGTTAGAATGAGAGTGGCTCCTTACTCCATAAAACGGACTCTCCGTAGGCCAATGCCAAAACCCCGCTGCTTTGCCGTCAGGTTTTTGAACCAAAGGCTTTGGTTGAGAACCCTAATCGTTCTCCTGTCTAGACCTGGGAAACGTGACAGTATCCTGTCCACGCAATACAACTATGACTTCTACGTCAAACCATTTCTTGATACTCTGATCGTCGCAGTAGATAATCGACGGCGCCCCATCTACTGCATCGAGCAGGGCGGATAAGGCTCAAGTCTTCCCGTCTTCTTATTCCCCTTGTTTGCGCTTTTTCATCCTTATCTTCCCATTCCAACTTCACTTTTATCCCCTTGTTTTCATTCCCCCAATTCTTGGCCCTCTCCCGTCTTGCTTTAATAGCCGCTTGTCTTTTAGTTTCGACTCACACGCAATCGCAGGACGTCGCTGCAGTTCATTCGGCAATTCCATGTTCAGCCAAGCGAAAACGTCAGTTCATCCATTTCTCTCTAGAATCCTCGATCCTCACTAAAACTGGTATCCTTCAACGTCCGCACCTTGCTACAGATTGGACAATAGACTGCACTTGCCCAAACATCAGAAACCCTATCGATCGATATTTGCTGCTTATCGGAAACCCGCCTGCAAAATTCGAGCTCCATGCTTACCCTGCAATCCCCCACGTGCGACACTGGTGACACACTCTCATTGCGCCGGTCTGGTGATGACGCAGCTTCAAATGCCGGTCAAGCCAGCGTGGGCATTGTTTTGAGTCATCGCGCTAAACTGCCCTGATCGATTGGATTCCAGTCGACAGCCGGATGTGCGCCGTTAGATTGGCTGGTTCGTTTCAAGCTTCGTAGTCGCGCTTATTCGTCCTGCGTTACTATCAGCAGGCATGTCTTCATGTGGCAAAATAAACTGCCAACCTGGACATTGGGTCTCTACACAGTCTCTGTAACTTATGGATGTTCGCCGACGTATTCCGGCTGGAAGCGAACACAATGAGACTCGCAAAATTTTCGGAGCAAAACTGCGTGCTAATCTGAAGAGAGACCGCGAAGCTTGCTGGTCTCATCGTGCATCGGAAATGGAAGCAGCCGCTGTCTTTGGTACCCATCATAAGTTATCCCGTCTGCTACGGAAAACAGGCAGCAGGAGACCAGGTGTTAGCGACACAATACACGACGAGAGTGGACATTCGATCCACAGCCTGCCAAAACGCTTGTAGCTTTGGGCCGACCACTTTGCAAGGCAATTTAACCAATATGTTATCACTTTCTTTTTCGGGCATTGAGTGCTTTCCTCCGTGGGCCGTCTGCTTTGATCCGCCCTCATTCGTAGAACTCGAAAGTGAGATCAGACTATTGAAATTTCATAAAGCCGCGTAGGCAAGTAGAATTCCCCCAGACCTCTTCAAATTCGGGAGACCTGCTCTTGTAGATGATTTACACGAGTTACTAGTGAAACTGTGGGAGCAGGAAACTATCCCAACAGATTGTAGCGGCTCAGTTATAGCCCCAATTTTCAAGAGAGGCTCCCGTTCGGAATGTGGCAACCATAGAGGGATCAGTCTGATCCTAATTGCCATTAAATTACTTGCGTCTGTCGTCCTTCAGACTGACCGGCACTCTTGAAAGTCAGATTCGTGAAGAGCAAGCCATCCGCCGACATGACCAGAACTCCCTGATGTCGGTACATATGGATGCTGAGAATCATCAGTTTGTTTCGGAGAATGTTAGGATCATAGGCAGAGCAAAACACGAAAAGCACTGAGTTCATGGAGGCTTGGTACTCAGGCAAGAACTCAATCAACAGACACTTAGATCTAGACTACCTATGAAACACTGAGAGTCAAACCAGTACTCCGCCCCAGATCAACAGGACAAAAGGGCGTCATTGAGGCAGACTCTAGCCAACGGTACGCAAGAGCTGACTACCCGGTCACCTCACGTAGACCAGTCGATTCCTGACGTTCGGATCAGTAAGTGATCAATAATCACTTGGATCTGTAAGTGTCCCGCATAAATCGCACTGATGATGTCGTCTAGCCTGACGATGAAATGTCTGCAGCCAAATCAGCCAGCTCGGCGAACACCCGCATACCCTCAGCTATATGAACGCCCGTGGGATCGAAGCGGAGATCACTAAACGTATAGCAAAAGCTGGAGGCGCTTTTGCCCGTCTCTGCCACCTGTTGGCTTTGGCACGGCATCATCCCCCCCCCCCTGAGAGGCGAGTTTACATTGCACCCGTGCGTTTCACCCTACTGCATGGCTGCGAAACCTGGCCTATCAAGTCGATAGACCTAAGCAGGCTAATCACGTTCGATGATCGCTGCCTTCTCAGCTTAGCTCATGTCTGGTGAGAGCACGGCGTGAGCAGTGAGCATGTTCGGCGTCGCGTATTTGGTGCAGGAAGAGCTAATGAACCGCTCAGCACCGTTACATCACGCACCGGGCTCCGATGGCTGGGTCACATGTTGCTCATGCCGCCACACCGACTCACGCATCGTGCGTCGTTTGCCCTGCTGGGTCGAGAATGGTAGAAGGAGAGGTCAAGCGGTGACTTGGTTAAGAGGAACGAGGTTTCTCACTTCGAAGTTGGCGTCGGTTGGTGTTTCCCGACCGCCGGGTTGAACTCCGAAGGACGATGAACACGTTTGGTTGGATACAATTGTTGACATAGTTAACAGCCGACCTCAATGGCGTTTGTGTTGTTTAGTTGCCGCTCCCGCCCCTGCTTATCTTCTTCCTTCAACCAGCTTCTCACATCTAGTGCTTACCATCATACTAAGTATCATGTTACTTTTGCTTTTTATCTTGTGTTCGATAATGTTTTATGTCTCGCTTCTTTCCCATATGATCAGAAGTCAGGGTAAGCGAACACGTTTCCGATAATTCGTCTTCAGGCCTATACAATTAGATGCAAATTAAAATGTGCAGACAAACATTACAAGTCCTTACTACTGGAGCGAGTTAATTGGATGCTGACAGCGCTGTCTGTTAAGCCACGACAATCGACCGCGTGTGACCTCGTGGGTCAGAGGTCACCGGCCGTTTGGGCCAGGGCAGTCCCAAGCCTTTAGTTAGCTTCTTCTGAACACGCAGCTCCGGTTCATACAGCCGGATCGCAATTGCTTCAGCGGCTTCTAGTAGTCGCTTGCGGACGTAGTTCGAGCGGTGCTTTGGGGCCTGATAGATAAGTTTGAACGAATCAGTGAACTTTGTGGCGTGCCCTGTATCGGCTAGGTGTCCGGCTATTGAAGAGTTCGCTGTATTTCCACTTCCAGTTCTAAGCCCGTCTGGGTGGTGTTCCTTCATTCCCTCAGATAGACGCCGTGTCGTTCGACCAATGTATTCCGCTCCACAGGAGCATGAAAACGAGTAGATACACATTGAGTTGGTGTGGACAGGCCTCTTATCCCTTGAGATTAGTCTCACCATCGGAATGCTAGTGAACTGGATTTGCATCTGCGCTGCTGCATAGGTGCGTCTGAGGGCAAACGAAAGACGACGAGATAGAAGTTCCGTCGCAACCTCGCCCTTGTATGACAGCTGTAGCAAGATTGGCTTACGTTCTGCTGTCAAAACTACAGGCTTTTTCTTTTTATGTTCCATGTTGTCTCTGATGAAGCTTTCCGGATAGCCGTTCTCCCTTAGCACTAAGCGAATGCACTCTAATTCTTCCGCAAGCGTGTCATTCGAGCAGATACGTTCAGCTCGACTCACTAGGGTATGTATCAAGTTCCGTTTAAACCTAAGTGGCACAAAGCTGTAGAAGTTTGTGTACTGCCCATTCCACGTACATTTCCTATCGACATAGCGCTGTAACGCACCCCCATCCAGTCTTTTCATGGCGACATCGAGGAAATGAAAGCGACTGTTTTCCTCAACTTCGCAGGTGAACTTTATTGCTGGATGGCCTTGGTTGAACGTGTTTGTTAGTTCCTCGATACTTCGAGACGACTGAAGCAAAATAAAAATGTGGTCTACGTAACGGCAATTTAAACCGAGACTGGAGATCGTTGGCTTTAGCTTTCCCTGTTCCAGCATGCCTATGAAGACCGACAAGGAAAGAACCCAATGGGGAACCCATCGCTACCCCATCACACTGCCGGTATACTTCGCCATTGAATAGAAACTGAACATTGAACGTGCATCTGAGCAATAGTTTATTTAGGATCACCGTGGGTATGCTAACATTGTATCAGCATACAGATGTAGTTTATTTTCTCAACTAATGCTACGTTGGTGAAGAGTGAAGTAACGTCGAGGGAGCGCATGGCTAGATTGGAAACATTTACATCACACACGATATCCACAAACTCAGAACCATCCTTCACAATATGTACAACAATTCGCTCTCGAATAGGCGTAAGAATCAAAACCAGCCATCGAGCAATCGAGTGATATGGGGAGTTTTTCATACCCAAGGCGGGATGAAGGGGGACGTTAGGCTTGTGAGTTTTTGGTAGCCCATAAAGCTTTGGAATAATCGTTCATACCAGCCGAACTTGTTCATAAGTGACTTCGTTGATGTAATCATCCTTTCGAAGCTGTTTAAGACAGTTGCAAAGTTGAGTTTCAATCTGTTTTGCTTTGTCTTTCTCACCTATGGCCCTCAGAACCTTGGTTTCATCTACCAGTATTTTTTTCATTTTGCTCAAGTAGTCCACTCTGTTCATGATAACAATGCCCGCACCCTTATCTGGCCGAGTGAGTAAGACCTCATCATTGCTAACCAGACGGTTAAGAGCTTCAAGGTGTTCTTGTTTTACCGGAGTGTTATGTACTATCCTCGCACGTCGGTACTGGTAGCATGCATGCACTAGAAACGATTTAAACTCTTCCACATGCATTTCAGAACAAGGAATCAGCTGAGAGGTCTGTGTGCACACATTTTCAAACTGGGCCTCTATTGCTAGTCTATTATCCTTCCTAGCAGGAAAACAGAATTTAGGGCCTAATGTTTAAACCTCCATTGTAACACGATCAAGCGTCAGGCATGATAAGTTTTGAGCATACCTTTATGGTTCGGCCGGAAAAGATGTTGAGGGCTTCTCCTTTTTCAACGTGTTTGCGAGCTGATGACGCAATCTGAATCCTGGTTTTTTCATTACTTCCTTAATTGTTTTCTCTAGTTCCGATCGGTCTCTGGTTGAAATACTGTCCAATGCGCTACACGACTGACTTAGGACACGTTTGAGCTCGTCCCCCTTGATACAAGTGGCATCTATCTGGTTTAATGCTAGGCGTTTCAGACAAATGCTATCCAGTCTGATGCGTGAGCGACGAAGAAATTTCTTTCACATATCTTTTTGTATTACGACACATTAGCTGAAGTGTATTTCCCACCTTCAGCTAACGTGTAATGATGATCTGACGATGGTGATAAAGGCAAATTCTTCGAAGTGTCCTTCCCGTTTTTACTACTAAAGTCCGATTCTCCTTGCCAAAGGAACTCCAGATGAAGAAATAAATGAACATCTGTTCAGCGCTCTCCTGTATCCTTTGTTCCGCTGACACACACTTTCATGCACAACACAGAAGGCAACGTCTGACCCACAAGCAGGTCGGTGCGTCTGGGCGGTGCTACGACCACCATTTCACACAAGCACTCTCGCGAATGCCTGGCTAAATGGTCAATTTGTTCAGTGAGACAAGTAACCGGGTCACTAGGAGTTTAATCGGCTGTAAAAATTAACTGATCTTCGGTGCCACAACCGTTAGCCTGGTGCATAAATCAAATGGGCACTTTCAGGCATGCACCCCACTCAGGTCGCGCTGGCACCGGAAACACAGATGGAACACGTGCATCGATAGCACTGAAGTGTGGGTGCTAACCCGAAAGGTAAACAACCTGCTTAATTCATCTCGGGTCGTAGAGTACCCAGTGCTTACACTTGGGTGGCAAGAACCATTTCAATTTGCGCGTGATTCACTACAAGGCAAACCCCCGTTATTCCGAGCATCGAACCTAGATGGAAGTGGAAAAGATTTCAATGCTGATCACTGTTTGCCGCCCTATTCCGGGTTCTATTCCGAGCTCCGGCTATGTCCAACTGAAGCACGCTTACATAGACGAAATTGAGCGTGGATTAAAGCCGAGTCAAGTAACTTTCGGAAAATTTGCACCAATGACGTCTCACGGCCTGGTAACGAAACGGTTGAAAAAGGACCTATCTCAGAGAACAATCAGATTTCCTCATCTGAAATGAATTCGTAGACTGTACAAAGCGTTGATAGTCAGTCTCTCGCAACTAGACACAGAGCCAAAAGAAAACCATGAAGATCAGCGGATAAGGGACTGTCATCGCGTCATAATCATCGTGGCATAGTAGTTGAAGGTGAGCAACACACTTCAGCTAATATGCCGCAGGAAGAAAGGAACATTTTAACAAAAAGTAGAGCTAAACATTTTTAGTTTGCTTTTCACACGCCGATTTTTCTATTTTTTGTCCTTTTTCATTTTTGAAATATTAAACATGTGAGCTAATACAGTAATGTACACAGTTCTTCCACTGATTCCAGTTGGGGGCTATGTCTTCAAGTGTGTTAAGCCATTGGCACTCCTCATCTTTGGGTCTCCATCCTGGAATACGTACGGGTCCAACAGCGGCTAGACGCGACGTCAGCGATTTCATGTCCTGTCGCCATGTAGAAGATTGACCACCACGCGGTCGCCTCCAGCCAGGTCCTTGACTAGGGAATAGAGCGCGACGCGATAGTTGCTCAGGTGCTATGCGTAGGATGTGACCGAGCCATCTCAACTGGCACAGCAAAATCTGTTTGTTGAAGGGAATACTCTCATTCCCCAAGATTCCACGTCGAACGTCATCACTGTGAACACGATGTTACCACTAAACACGAGCAATCCTCCTTAAGCAACCGTTATCGAAGGCAGAATGACGACGCATGTCTTCCACGCGAATCGGCCAATAATCGCTCCCATACAACAACACTGAGCGAACTGATGCGCTGTAAACTCTGCCCTTTAGCGAGAATGAGACATCAGGACGACGCCACAAGTGCCTCAGATTGCCAAATGCTGATCGAGCTTTAGCGATGCGAAGAGAAACTTCTTTGTTGATAGTGCCGTCATCAGAAACATAGCTCCCAATGTAAACAAAACTGTCTACCTGTCCAAGTTGTGCACTTTCGAGAGTGAGCACGGGAGCAGGTGAAAGTCAATCCTGAGCAGTACTTTACACTTCGATGGGGCGAAGCTCATGCCATACTTAGATGCTTCAACCGCCAAACGATCCAGAATGAGTTGCATACCCTGAGGATCGTCACCAAGTAAGGCGATATCATCACCATAATCTAAGCCGGTCGCGCGCTCACTCGGTAGAAGCTCTAGGCCAAAATGTTGGAAACCTTCTAGAGCATTCGACAGAACGTCGTCGATTGCAAAGAGGAATGGGGACATAGGGCAGCCCTGTCGCACACCGCTATTGATAGCGGATTGCGAGGAAAGCTTGCCATAGACCCTTACTCTGCCGGATGTATGAAGGTAAAGTGCTCGTAAGATGGCCGTATCTTTCTCTGGCATTCCGTTCTTTAGCAAGCAACGCCATAAAGCAGGTCGATCAACGGAGTCAAAAGCGTCACGTATGTCTAGTAATGCAACAATAGTGGGTCTGTGATAAATGTGGCGATGTTCGAGGAGCTGGCGGAGCGTGAAGATTTGATCCACGCATTCGCGGCCGGAACGGAAACCAGCTTGTTCTTCACGGTAGTATGATTCATATACTGGAGATAGTCTGCGAAGCAGAATGCATGCCAATAG